TGGTAGCGTGAGGATGTAGGGAGTGGTAGGGTGAGGGTGTTGGGAGTGGTAGGGTGTAGGGAGTGGTAGTGTGAGGGTGTAGGGAGTGCTAGGTTGAGGGAGTAGGGAGTGGTAGGTTGAGGGTGGTAGGAGTGGTAAGGTGAGGGTGTTGGGAGTGGTAGGGTGAGGGTGTAGGGAGTGGTAGGGTGAGGGTGTAGGGAGTGGTAGGGTGAAGGTGCAGGGAGTGCTAGGGTGAGTTCTGCAGCAACACGCACTCAACCATTACTTGTGTTCCTTTGGTTAACTAGGGAACGCACTCTTGTGTTGTGTGGTCTTTAATAATCTCACAAAAGGAAGAGAATATTATAAAACAAATATATGTTGTTGACAGGTGTTGGTAAGTCACACGCTCATACAGGTGAGGTCGGCGGCGGCATCATTAACCTCCTTAACGTTTAAATATGATATTATTATGACTATGGGAGAGTGATTTTTAATAGAGGTCTCAAGAGAAAGGGTCATGATATTATGTAAGCTGACGCTGTATAAGTAACGCTGCTTATCTGTTGTGTGTAAAGCTGAGGTTTACACTACCATAAGAGTCTTCTTGACAGAGAACAAGACACACCCTCCCTACGTGTGTGGGTTGAGGATATATGGAGGCAGGTGTGGGTATATCTAGCTTCACTTTGTGTGACCCATGATCCAGCCCTCAAGAGGAGTAAACACAGTGGATAATGTGACTTAGTGAGTCACCATAATCATTACTTTTACACTAAACTATAATTCTCTTATGGTCTGCCTACGAGACCTCACTTGAGATATTACAAACTTGTGTACTGTACAGTACAGTACAGTACAGTACGGTACTGTACAGTACAGTACAGTCCGGTACTGTACAGTACGGTCGAGTTCAGTCCAGTCCAGTACAGTCCAGTCCAGTCCAGTCCAGTCCAGTCCAGTCCAGTACAGTACAGTACAGTACAGTACAGTACAGTACTTACTTTACTGATGTAAGTGTTTATTACTGTCTTGATTGTGTTGTACCTCTAGTGACCATATTGTGTACAGCACAGTTGGGGACGTACTGTACTGTACTGTACTGTACTGTACTGTACTGTACTGCACTGTACTGTACTGTACTGTACTGTACTGGACTGGACTGGACTGGACTGTACTGTACTGGACTTGACTGGGCTGTACTGTACTGGATTGGACTGGACTGGACTGGACTGTACTGGACTTGACTGGGCTGGACTGGACTGGACTGGACTGGACTGGACTGGACTGGACTGTACTGTACTGGACTGTATTTATTATTGGTTGGCTTTCTTCAGTGGTTTAGGTTATATACATAAACAGTGTTTGGTGTGCAATATTTTATTATATTCTGCCAATATTCTCTAAATGATTAATAGATAATATATAATGTCTTGATAAAGTCTTACACAAGTAGTGATGACATGTCTCTATAAAGTGCTGTATTGGTTAGGTTACATTGAGTCATGTTCGAGGTGATAAATTTAGGGTTTGCTGGGGATAGGTGGGTTAGGTCATTAAGGGACAGGTTACATTAGGCCAGGCTGACATAGGAAGGTTTGGTCAGGTTTCCGGGTCCGGGGGTTAGTGAAGCCTGGAACACTTGCATGTCACTCCTTCAGATGAACAAATCCCAAGGAACTCCTCATAGTGGTCCTGGTAGTCGTGGTGCAGGTAAGAGAGAGGCAGCTGCTTCTCACATTACTTGTTGTAGTTGGTCTTTGGTTTGTTCTCCTAGGCACGTGATGGAACATTTGTACCCAGGGGAGTTATGGTCGCCATTGGTTATGAATTCGAGTTTCATCTCGTTGGTGGGGAAGACCCAGGTAGATGTAATATTCCCGCAGAGTCTGTTGAGGATAACGCCATCATATAGTAATTAACATTGGCTGGTTATAGTGACAGGCAGGAGGTTATAGTGAGGTATTATTATCAGTTTATGCTCAGACTGAGGAGACAAAGTATTCGAGGTAACAGGAGTAATAATGTGTTAGTGGTTGTAATTAAAGGAATAGTTATTGAAGCATCACAAGTTAGTAAGAGTGTTATTACTTGATAATATTACCAACATCAAAAGTAAAGGTTTAATGATAGTTAAAATTAATCCAAGTATTGTTATGACTGGATCACATATTGTCTTTATGTCCAGTAACTTCTAATGTTACTATCAATATCACACACAGAAGTAGTAGTTGTTGTAGTAGTAGTAGTAGTTGTTGTAGTAGTAGTAGTAGTAGTAGTTGTTGTAGTAGTAGTAGTAGTGTAATTTTAAGGAGAACCGGTATTGTAATACTATTTGCATTGTATAATAACAATATCAGTAAAAGTTGTTTATTTTAGTTTGTAGTAAAGGTAGTAAGAGTAACAGTAGTAGAGGTGGTGGTGGTGGTGTTGTACCGGGTAACACATACGTGGAGGAAGTGGTGCCGTCGGATATGATGAGTCGTTCATTGTCACAGTCTTCCAGTTTAAATACTTCGCAGTTGACTCCAAGGTTGGCACTCGGTGACTGGCAGACGATATTCTGTTGACAACTGTGGGAAGGAGTGAACACCTGTAGACGTTATTGTGGAAGACGGAATAATCTTAGAGGAATACAGGTGTTGGTGGAAGTAACACCTGTGGTGGTGATAATGTTAGAGGAACACAGGTGTTGGTGGAAGTAACACCTGTAATCGTCTTTGTATCCTCGGGAAGGTTACAGTTTGAACGCCATTTAGTGTGTCATCTTAGTATTGTGTCTTAGACACCTTGGAACACCTTTAATTTAAGAGAAACATTAAACACCTTGAGGATCCTCGTTTAAAAGTTACAGTAACTTACGTTAATATAACTGCAGACGTGAACATGTATTTAACTGAAGCAACTTGTGAAAGAGACCTAGGGGTACTTGTAACCCCGGACCTACGGCCTAGAAAACAGTGCGTTAATGTTCGAAATAAGGCAAACAGAGTATTGGGTTTTATATCTAGAAGTGTAAGTAATAAGAGTGCAGAGGTCTTATTGCAACTATATCTTGCGCTATTCAGGCCGCACCTCGATTATGCGGCTCAGTTCTGGTGCCCTTATTATAGAATGGATATCAATTCACTAGAGTCGGTGCAGCGAAGAATGACGAAAATGATTCCGGGACTTAGAAACCTTCCATATCAGGCTAGGTTAAAGAAACTAAACTTGCATTCCCTAGAAAGACGAAGAGTGCGGGGAGATATGATAGAAGTATTTAAGTGGGTGAAAGGATCAATAAAGGAGATAGATAAAGTTCTTATAATATCTGAGCAGGATAGGACTCGGAGTAACGGATTTAAGTTGGATAAGTTTAGGTTTAGGAGGGAGATAGGAAGAAACTGGTTCACAAATAGGGTGGTGGACGAGTGGAACAAGCTTAGCAACTTTGTAGTAAGTGCTGGAACTCTGAAAAGTTTCAAAAGGAGGCTAGATAGATTCATGGATGTTTGAGAGTGGTCGTAACTCTCGACAGGAGCTGCCCTGCACAGGCCAACCGGCCTATTGCAGACTCCTTATTTACTTATGTTTCTTATGTTCTTATATATTGACCTGAGACTACCTGTAGTGTTATGGTCTACCTGCAGTGTTATGGTGTACCTGTGAAGGTGAACTGGGGATGATCTTACCTGCGCTTGTTGGTCAGGCGGGCGGGGTAGTCTGGTGACTGCACCAAGACCACATCGCCGAGTTTTGTTGTCTGTTGCTCCCATAACAGTGACGGTCACCACCAGCAGCGTCAACATGTACTTCATCCTCAAACAACTTGTTCACTTTTCTGTAACAACTGAACAAGTTTTGTGGGTTAATAAAGTGTTTATTATCACATATAATAGTTATCCCCTACGACTTAGAAAATAATTTGAAATGTTTAACGTTCATGTAAGCAGTAATAATAATTGTTTATGTTTTCACCTAAGTTACACCTTGATCTGAATTAGTAAAAGCAACATACATCATTAATTCTGTTTTAGCCGATCTCGTAGAATCAGTCGTAACACCTGATAAGTGTAAACATGTTAACAACAACACTCATAATAAGAAAACTTAACAAAAGGTAAACATTTCAAACAATTCGTGGATGATAAATGACCATCATAAATAATAATAATATTAATAATAGTAATAATTATGTTACACTGTTTGATTTGCCTCATTATCTTCAGCTTTTGAGAACAAGTTAAAAAATAATAGCGGATACTGTGCTGTACAGTAATATAGAGTACTGTACTGCACTGGCTGTACAGTAATATATAGTACTGTACTGCACTGTGCTGTACTAAACAGTACTGCACTGCACTATGCTGTACTATGCAATACTGTGCTGTACTGTACCTTTTAGTACTGTACTGCACTGTGCTGTACTGTACCTTTCTGTACTGTACTGCACTGTGCTGTACTGTACCTTTTAGTACTGTACTGCACTGTGCTGTACTGTACCTTTCAGTACTGTCCTGCACTGTGCTGTACTGTACCTTTCAGTACTGTCCTGCACTGTGCTGTACTGTACCAGTACTGTACTGCACTGTGCTGTACTGTACCTTTCAGTAGTGTCCTGCAATGTGCTGTACTGTACCTTTCAGTAGTGTCATGCACTGTGCTGTACAATAAACAGTATAAGTTAACTTGAGGGAAGGTTGTGTATGTTTATACATGTAACTGGCGGCGTGTATCACGCTCTGTATGTTAATTACCGACTACAGCCCATACAAATATTTTTAACATTATTGTCAAACGTTAGAAAGTGAGAGACTACCACTACCAGGTAAAACTTGTTAATGATAACTACAAGTTATATTGGTCACGTGTTGTGATGGTCTATATTACAGTACTACCACTACCAGGTATAACTTGTTAATGTTAACTACAAGTTATATTGGTCAAGTGTTGTGATGGTCTATATTACAGTACTACCACTACCAGGTATAACTTGTTAATGTTAACTACAAGTTATATTGGTCACGTGTTGTGATGGTCTATATTACAGTACTACCACTACCAGGTATAACTTGTTAATGTTAACTACAAGTTATATTGGTCACGTGTTGTGATGGTCTATATTACAGTACTACCACTACCAGGTATAACTTGTTAATGTTAACTACAAGTTATATTGGTCACGTGTTGTGATGGTCTATATTACAGTACTACCACTACCAGGTATAACTTGTTAATGTTAACTACAAGTTATATTGGTCACGTGTTGTGATGGTCTATATTACAGTACTACCACTACCAGGTATAACTTGTTAATGTTAACTACAAGTTATATTGGTCACGTGTTGTGATGGTCTATATTACAGTACTACCACTACCAGGTATAACTTGTTAATGTTAACTACAAGTTATATTGGTCAGGTACACTTGTTAATGTTAACTACAGGTTATATTGGTCACGTGTTGTGATGGTCTATATTACAGTACTACCACTACCAGGTATAACTTGTTAATGTTAACTACAAGTTATATTGGTCACGTGTTGTGATGGTCTATATTACAGTACTACCACTACCAGGTATAACTTGTTACTGTTAACTACAAGTTATATTGGTCACGTGTTGTGATGGTCTATATTACAGTACTACCACTACCAGGTATAACTTGTTAATGTTAACTACAGGTTATATTGGTCACGTGTTGTGATGGTCTAACAACTCGGTTATGGCGGGGTATAAGTTTACTAATACACTTCGCTTGACACACAATACTCACCTGTGTACAGGTGTACTAGTAATAGTGTTGTGCTTCTCCTCCTCCTCGCAGGCCAATATAAACACTCCCCCCCCCTTCACCCCAACTCCCACAATGCATCACTACACCGCCGAGTTTCTCATCCATATTTTATAGAAACATTTAAGAGTGACAATATACATAAATGACAGGTAAGAGATTTACCTGTTGATGAAGGTACTCTACACCTGAGTACACCTGAACACCTTGTTGATGAACCACTGTATTAACTCCACTATACAAATGAGTTAACATTAATGACTTGGTGCCCCTTAAGTATGACGTCACTGCCAACACTGTTACAGGTTTACAATGTGGTGCATCTGTTACCGAGACCTTCATGTTATAAATACTGTATGCATGTATGTATGTATGAATGTATGTATGTATCTATGTATGTACGTATGCATATTACAGATTCAGTTTTGAAAAATAATGAATATTTTCGGCAAATGGGGATATTAATTAATTTATTTATATTTTTTGCTAATTAATTTCTATAATAATATATTGCCTATTTTCTTTAATGCGTCGTTTACTATTACAGTATAAGATAACCAGATTATATCGTAAGTAGGTTAGGTTAGGTCAGGTTAGTATGGTCTACTTGCCAATTCTGACCAGTTAGAAGTTAACACAAAATACACAAGATATTCCATGCCTAACCTAACCTATAAATGGAATAATACATTTTACCACATTGGAATTTCCATGAAGGTTTAGCAATGAAAATACAAATTATCCATATTTGTCAAAAAAAAATCAGTTTGTTATCAAAGTTTAATAGGTGATTATCCCTATTTAACGAGACGTAGGTGATTATCCCTATTTAACGAGACAGTAGATATTTAAATAGGTGATTATCGCTATTTAACGAGATGTAGGTGTTTATCGCTATTTAACCAGACAGAAGATATTTTAATAGATGATTATCCCTATTTAACGAAACAGTAGATATTTAAATAGGTGGTTATCGCTATTTATCGAGACGTAGTTGATTATCCCTATTTAACAAGACGTACCGAGTAGAGACGTTGCCTGTTGTGTCTCAGAGGAAGAGCGTCTTGGGAAGCTAAGTCAACAACACATATAGTCAGTTTATGAGGCCGCTCACACCTTAACTAACTTAGCTGCTGTTGTTAGATTAGGTGTAGAGACGGGAGGTTGGACGCCGTTAATAGTAGTTGGTGTTGTTATTATTGTAGACATTGTGGTGGTACAATACTATTAAGATAAGTAGTACCTGTAGTAATCTAGTTATCTTATAATAGTAAACGACGCCTTAAAGAAAATAGCCAATACTTTTTTATAAACGAATTAATAGAAATTAATTAGCAAAGAATATAAATATATTAATAAAAATCTCCATTTGCCCAAAATATTCATTATTTTCAAAACTGAATCTGTACTAATAATGATAATACTAATAATAATGATATTGACAGTAGTAGTAGTAATAATGATAATGATAGTAGTAGTAGTAGTAGTAGTAATAATGATAATAATTATAATAATAATGATAATGATAGTAGTAGTAGTAGTAGTAGTAATAATGATAATAATTATAATAATAATGATAATGATAGTAGTAGTAGTAGTAGTAGCGATAATGAAAATAATAATGATAATGATGGTAGTAGTAGTAATAATGATAATGATAATAATAATGATAATGATGGTAGTAGTAGTAATAATAATAATGATAATAATAGTAACAGCAGTACAACACATACATTATAAGTAAGAGAACTGAGGCCTGGATATGATAATCCTTGACACAAATATTTGTGTTCGGGTTACCCAAACAATTTGTCTTTAGAATTCAAGGTTAGGTTAGAACAGATGGGACTGCTTATGATAGAGTAATGATTGGCACCTGTGACAAGCAGTTATCACCTCTCTGATCGCTGTTGTGGAAGATCGAACAATGGAGCTACGAACTGGGAAGAACAGGTGTGAATAATAATATGTGAGTGAACAATGTTTGCGTGTTGGAATATTGATAAAATTTTGCATCTGAATTTGGAAATGAAACACTTGTGTCGAGGTTACATCTGTGATCCTTGTGTTTATGATAATGTGTTTGTCTGTACCGTTGGAAATGTTAAGAGTCTTAGTACAGTTTCGGTGCCATTTAATCTGTTTTCTCTGTATTACGTCTTAAGGAATAAATAAAGAATAAAGAGTGAAAGAGAAATAATAAAAATACCAATAAGTTACAGTAATAAAATAACATTAATTAATAAGAGAAAAAACTGAAGAACTTATATTTTTTTCACATTTGTAATTTATTAAAAACAATACATCATTACTGAGAACAACTAAAAATACGAACAAATATGAAAATTAGAAAAAAATACGTTTAATAAAAATAATTTTTTTTTAACTTGATATACAATTTGAGGAATATTTACTTATATAAAATGAAGTTATTGTTTAATTTTACAATATACAAACTGGTCTTTTTCTTATTGTTGGCGTCACACCGAATCGTTCGGATAATCATCAATTATTTTAAAAGACAACTCACTTTTTTTAGGCAAATACGGATAACTTTTTGCATTTTCTTGCAATAACCTAATAGTGATTTATTCGTATTTGATTATAATAAGTTCTGTTTCAGTTAAGGCGTCGTTTACTAACACACACACACACTACACATTACAGTAATCAATAAGACATCTCTGATAATGAGACATTCCTAGCCACTGATGCGAGACATTCAATCGATACGAGACGGGGAATCATAACCTGACGAGACATTTAAGGCTACGAGATAAATCATACAGGAACCGAGACCCAAGACACTGCTACGAGACATTTAATCGGTGATGAGACAAAACAACGAGATATTTCACATTAAGATCAAGGGGGGACCGGTGGTAGAAGCGGTACCGTTATTGCCTTGCAAGCGAGATGTCACGGGATTATTATTATTATGATTATTAATCTTTGTTTTTATTATTATTATTATTATTATTATTATTATTATTATTATTATAATTGATATTATTATTATTATTGTTATTATTATTATTATTATTATTATTATTATTA